GAAAATTGTCATGCTGAGCCAGCATTTGTGGCCTTATCATGAGACGCCACCCAGCATCACAAGTTTCCAGACCCAGACATTTTTACATTTGATACCACTGCCGTGCAGCGTGTTCGGCGTGTTGAATATGTGATATTTGTTACTGGACGTGGCGTTATTGACGTTATCCACCGACTCGAGCACCATAGACAAGGAGGCCGGCCGCTGTAGATTATTCGCCCCGCTATTCGAGGACGATAAGTCAGTGCTCGTCGTGGTTGCGCTCGTTGCAGCTCCTGCTGTATTTATTTTCCCATTGCTAGAAGTGCCCCCACCGCTCGCTGCCGCCGCACTCATGGGGCGCAGCAGCTTGTTGGCCTGTAGCAATGTGGTCTGATGTCCAGGTCCACCGCCTCCGCCGGGAAAATTCGTTGAAGCTGCATAGGAACTTGTCGTGGGACTGTGGGGCACCACGTTTTGGTACCGGTTAGGCGAGGTGCTGCCACGAAAAGTAGACATCGGAAAGCCATTCGTGCCCGTCGATGAAGAGGAATTAGAACTCATGCCCTGCTGGTGTTGACTGATGGTACCACCGTAATTCTGATTGGCATTCGGATTCATCCCTCCTCCATGTCCACCTCCCTGAATGCAGCTGACACTCCGCTTGTGAAAAGAGCCCATGCTGATCTTCGATGAGCTCGAACTGGAACTGCCCGCTCCGGTATTGTGCGCCGCCAGCGGACTGCGACAATTGTTCAATGCAGTAGAAGTCGTAGTGGTACTGCTACTAGTACCTCCTCCAACTTGGTCCTTGGATGCAGACGAAACCTGCAAAAGTCCCTGCTGGTGTTCCTGCTGCTGTACGACCTTTTGCGAGTTCGAAATCGATATCGCGGTGCTGTGAAGTAGATCCGCGTCAATTCCAGAAGAGCCACTACTTCTACCCCCGCCCATCTCCACCGATATCCTGCCCACGCTGCACACTGTCTGCCGGTTCACAACTACGCTCGGCGACGTTGTTGCGTCATCTGCTTCCTCGGGAATTGTCGGGACGGACGGCTGTCTCTGGACGACGGGATGTACTAGCTGCTGCGAAGAAGTAGAAACAAGTTGTTGGGAGTTAGAAGTGGAACACAGGCGGTCGTTGTTGAAGCAGTTGTTGTCCTTTTGATGTTCCTGCTTGATGGAGGTTCTGGTGATGTCAATCGCCGATTGCATCAGCTCGTCGTCCCGTTCCCGCAAAGCCGCGATGTCTTCTTCGTGCTCCTTCAAAATCGCGGACAGGCTCTCGCTGTCATCTGCGATGAATTCACGATCGTCATCATCCGCAACCGCGAATTTGTTTTTAATACACTTCACTTCACTAACTTAATTTCCCCTTTTCTGGTGTTCGAACGTAGTAGAATTGAACACGTCAGTCGGATGTTGACTCACTGCGTTATACATCATGTGTGGTACCTTTCTCAAAGTGCATGGCCCCGAACGCCTGCAGCCATTTCTGCAAATTTTCCACCAAACTCGCCGGTCCGGAGCCAAGTTTGTTGCGCAGCGCCGTCTTGTCCCGCTCCAGCAAATCCGCCATCAGAAACAGCGCCCCAGGCGTTAACGCGTGCTCGTAGGCGGCTGCCTGTTGCCCCTCGTCGTCAATGTCGGTGGCGGTCTATCAAATGTAAAAATGTCTGGGTGTGGAAGAATGGAAGGCTTGTCATGCTTGTCTGGCATGACCCATGATGGTTGTAATGCATGATCCAGCATCACAGATTTTTGGAAAGCTTCCTGATGCCATGTCCGCATGGCAAATGCCCTCCTCGCGTAGCACAAATCGGCTCCTCTTGCTGGTCATGCAATACAGATTTTTTTAGAGTCCAAAGTTAGCATCACAAGTTCCAACTTTCCAGACCCAGACATTTTTACATTTGATACGGTCGGGTCCTCGACGATTCGCTTCATTTTGGCGAGAAGCAGGTGCGGATCCCGGAAAAGGCG